CTGTCCGGGTCGTTCTCCGTCGTCTAAGTCGAAATTGCCACTTTTAAACCGTGCAAACCACTTTTGGCACGTTCGTTCGGCTAAAGCATGGGCACCATAAACGTCCAGTAAAATACGATGGCTTTCGGCAGCACTTTTCTTCATGTTAAAATAATAAAGAAGAACTCCCCGCAAAAACACTTTATCTGGTACAAATTTCGACATTTTCAAATGAATGAAACAAATTGTTGTTCACGCTCAAACAATTTATATCTACTGAAAACGATGCGAAATGGCAGTACCTTTGAAATGAATATAGCCACAGATGAATACGACGCGAAATAATACTAGTAGAGCCCTCTCTTAGAAAACCGCACGAATTAATGCATACACCAATACATACAGACAAACATGGCTAAATCGGCTCAGCTCATCACGCTGATCATTTTTATACTCGTATATATTTTATAGGGTCTTCGACGTTTCCTCTTGGGTGTTAGAAACTTCGTTGGAAACTTAAACTATCCTGTTCAGGGTATAAATATTATACTCCAGTAGTTTCTCGGATCTAGGGAAAATTTCTCAAGTCTAAAACCACGCTGATTAAAATTTTTTCTGCTCGGTAATGATCATTTAATATAATTTTTTAGATTTTAGTTACCATATTTGTAGCGCTCAACTCGTCTGATCCATAATTTAGGTGGACCGACCTGACGTAATTCGTAAAGTGGATTGCCCTATCTCTGAATTTATTAGAAAACCCACGAAACCAGAAGGACCTATATAAGAACATACGAACATCGAGATAAATTTGTTTGAAAATCGTTCTAATAGTCCTTAAATGATTCTGGAATGAGCATATAAACGTCGAGATAGAGTGTTCTTCATTATTTTCTTGAGATAGGGTTTTTAGGAGATTTTTAAAAATCCGTTGCCGGTGTAAGATGACCTTTACCTCAGACGACGACATATAGTCGTACACAATTAGTGGTACTGGGGACTCGCTAATGCAGACCGCATTATTTGTATTGCTTTGAAGCCGTCGCAGGTCTAAAACTCTAGAAGCATACTTTTCATTTTTCAAAATGTTATTGACTGCAGTCTGTGCTGTGTGATCTTTTGTAACATTGTAGCTGGAAACCTGATATTTTAAAGAAAAATGTTGCAGGACTCGAACAGAGAGTATCTACCGAAACTTAGTGCTACCTTTTATGGGACGAAGCGATGATCAAATTTGACCCGGACTAACAAAAAACTACATTTTCGCTTATTTTAATCAACTCTATATTAGCTTCTTTAAAATAGGCTCCTTAGTCAACCGCAGCATGCTAACGCATAATCTTCAATACACTTGTCTCGCCTGGGATGGCTTTCAGAGCCTTGCGAGAGTTTTGGTTCATTTTTGGAGCGTTATTCTCTAGATTGTTGGACAGTTTCAACGTCATTTTCATAAACACACGTTGAGTTTGATGAATGTAGGGTTCTCAGCCATGTTGTCAAGGATCTCTTTTGAGACCTATACTGTACTTTGCAAAAGATTCAGATCTTCACACGCTTCATACTCAAAACATTAATCAAAATGTCTTTTGTTAGGTGGTTCTTTCTTTATTTTTTAACCAGTACAAAAGACATTTTCTGATATCATTTGCAGTAAACCAGTCTGAGAAGCTTATTATTATCCCCAAGTGTGCTTTTTTGCTATTTAAAAAGTGCTCTAAATATTTTAATTACATACATACTAACTTTTATTGAAATTCTTCGAATTTCTAAAGCAATTTTTCACACTCTTCATAATCTATTATTTCTCTTTTTTCTGCTTTGTAAAGCTATTGTATTTTGTATTCTACGCTTAAAGAATTCTTTTTGTACATTCCATTGTTTGCGCAATTGCTTATTATGTGGCTCACAACAACAATAACACTTGTAAGCAACAGCATCTTCAGCCAACTCTTCTATTCAACACTAAATCCTTTGTTGCTTTTGTTGCTGTTATCTATTAGCCGGTGTTTAGAAATCTCAACAAGACAAATTGAAAAGCATAACTTTTTTTGGTTCGCCACGCCGCGCTTTAAAGTGTCGCTTTTTTGTTATTAGTGTTTAATGCAAAAATCAGTTTTTAACCTGTTGTCGCTCGCCGTAAAAGTGGGTCAGCAGTGCTAACAGTCATTCTACAGCAGCGCAGTTAAGCAAATATTAACAACACTAACAACAACCACAGCAACATCAAGCTAGCCAGCGAGAGCGCTAGTATCGCAGTCGCTGTACCAATATGGTTTTTTACGCCATCTTCCGCCACTTTCTGCGCTTCGCACAATGATGGAGATCCGTACATATATACATACCCTGTATCGTTCTTTATAAACATTAAGCTGGGTCGCCAATTTAGCTAGAAATTTAAGTTATTTCTACTTAAGGAAACACTACTGCCTTAACGATAGGTCGTTCTCACCTTGAAGTAAACGGAACAGAGCCAAATTTATAAATGTCAAAGGCCTGTCAACTCTAACTAACTAAAAACAAAATTTAAGAGTGGTATCGCTTTTAAATGTATCTTTCTAACGGTATTACACGTTTTCGACTGTATTCTTTTGTACAAGAATGATCATTTTTATAACCTTAAAATCTTGCTAAAAAACCTTTAAAGTTTGTAAAATTGTATTTTACAGTATGGTATATGCGCCGCTTCCAAGCGTGTGAATCGTTTGAAGTTATTGTTCGGTGGACCTGCCCAAGACATAACCTAAGTAATAGATACAGGGTTTTCTTCAATTACGAGAATAAATACAGTTGATTTTAGTTATTGCATATATATATCGAATGTATGCATATTTACATATTTGTGAATATTTTTCGAAAATTAGATGTAGTCCGCCAAATCGTTTCGGAGTTTTAAGCGTATTTTTCAGAATTTTTGAACTTAGTGTAATCGACTCCCAAAACTTTAAACGCGATTTCTCTAAACACTGTTTTCAAAGTCGGTGAAGAAAATTTTTTTCGAAACTGCTGAGCCTTGAATCGACTTGAAATTTTTACACGACTTCCTCAAATTTATTTGTCAGGAAATGATCGAAGAAATGCTTAATTTTTTGACAATAATTTTGTTTTTTTTTGTGTAAATTTTTTCACAAAAAACGACTTTTTTTTAGGGAAGCTGGCATTTTGTCAAAAATCAAAATTTTGACTAGTTCTCCAATCATGACTCACTCTATTCGTCTATACCATAGTAAACATATTTCTTTTGCATTTTTGAATTTGAAATAATTTTAAGCAGAAAATCGCCAGACACCTTTTTTTTCGGAGGTCCTTCTGGATATTGTCTATGTTATCAAGGGAATTCAAAGTTTTTTACATAATTTTTATTTCCTGCACTTTCCGCTTCTTTGACGGAGTTGAGCATGTATTTAGAAAGAATTGACCTGATCTAATGTATATGTTTATTTGTATCTACGGACCCTCTGCAACTTCAACAAGCACTTCGTGTGTTTTCCTCTGTTTTGTTATTTTTGTAGATGTTATCCTTCAGTTCATGCTTCGCTCGTTTTATTTTAGAGGTGAGGTAGTGTTGGGATTTGTTTTATGCATCACTACTCGTATAGGTAGCTCTACTACATACATACATACACATTAGTGCAATGAATTGATTCAATCCTTTTGGTGTCCTCCAATTATTCCTCCCTATAGCTGAACCCTGTTTTTTTTTTTTTTGTAAATACTTATAGTTATGTGTGTTTCACTTTATGTCTACATACATATTTTGCATTCCGGGAATGTCGGTTATTGGGTTTGGAAGAAGTTGTGCATTATGCGAAGGCGAATCGCCGGCTACCTACCGGTTAGTAAATGTGAATTGGTGTCATTGCTAAAATTACTTCCACTTATCTGCGTCAGAATCAATTAAGTGGAATAGTTTGGTGGTTGAGTATAAATCTGCTTTTCGTGATTGTTTGCCGCTAAACGAGACATACATACGAGCACATAAACTGTGGTCAATTAAAATAAAACAAGTACGGCATCACGATATTAGAATGCTGTTAGCATAAAATTTGATGTAAAAAAGACTAACTTTGGTAACTCCGAAACTTTGACCGGTCTTCACTGTCCGCTGGTACCACTAGCTGGTATACTGCTTTGTGTAGGGTGTCTGCAGTCATTTAGATACCACGTCGACTAGCCGAAGTTTCAGTTTTTGATTTTGTTGATGTCGCACTCATGAAGATCGTAGAGCTCACAGTTTTATCTTATCTTTGCCTGTAATTTTTTTGCAGTACTTTAGTTTATGTCTCGTTTTCGTAGCTACGACAACTTTAGAGTATGTTGCTGCTTCGATTTATATATAACTGTTTGAGTTATTCAATTGTTTTTAAATTATTGGCAATTTTCCGTTAAAATAAGGACGATAACAAATAAATCTGATTTGTATTACGTTTAAAATGATTCAGAAATCTAGGCAGCTAGTTAAAGCTCGGTATCACCAAACCAACTCGGATTTAGCTGGGTGTTTGTTTAAGAATAAAACTTCCGAGCAATGAGTACCGAACGAATCTGAACATCATTACCAGGGTGAAAGGGTGTTTAGGCAGAAACTACGCGCTTTACAAAGAATACCGTCTGCGATTTTAGCAGATCTGCGCTGATGCTGCTGGTATCGCAGCGTATATCAATTTAATACTTGGATACAAGGGACAGTGGCAGAATTAATCAGGTTTTGCATGTCAAAATGTGTTGTACAAAAAACGTTCTTAAAATTCTGTAAACACTTTTAATCCTTTGGCTTTTTATTTCACCTCTTATAAGCTGATGGTTTATTATAAGAAGGCTTTAGTGGTCAGGAATATACAATACACTAAGTTTAGAGTTTTTCTGTCCAGAGCATTTTTCTATAATTTTTTATTTTTCATGAACCGAACATTGGATCAGTTTAACCTATTGCTTTATTGCAGTCGTTCTTTCTGTCAATATTTTTTTATTTATTCTAGTTCTGTTATAAATATCACATAACGCTTATTTTACTTATTTTACAGAAAATTTGCTGCAGAACTGTTATAATGGAGCACCGACCAGTGATAATATTGTTTTAGATATTGACGACCCTGGCGATGGGCTGGGACCTTTACCGCCCAAGTGGGAGACCGCTTATACCGAACGCGGAGAATTATATTTTATTGAGTAAGTAATCCTATTACAAGTATGTAACATATATGTATGTACATTATTAGTGTCACGTTTTCCGCCAATAAACTCCTAAGCTACTGAACCGATTTTAGTAAACTGTGTCTAGAAAAGGGTATATTAAGTTTGGCACGAAGTTTTTAACACCCATAAAGAAAGGGAGACCCTATAAAATATATAGTCGTATATAAGTTATCAGCTAGACAAGCTGACTCGATTTGACCATGTCCGCGCCTGTCTGTCCACCTATATATACGCTAACTAGTCCTTTACTTTTTGCGATATCATTCTAAAATTTGGCTGCACACATGCTTTTCTCCCCAAGAAGTCGAAACCGCCGATATCGGACTACGATAGCATATAGCTGCCATACAAACTGAACGTACAAAATCATGTCTTTGTATGGAAAACTTTTTCATTTGACAAGATATCTTTACAAAATTTGGTAATTCTACAATCTGCGAACAAATAGTTCAGATTGGACCATTATAGCATATAGCCGCCATTCAAACTGACTGAGCAAACTCAGCATAAAGGTCTTCATAAAATATTTTTATATTTATTTTGTGTACTTTTTTGTATTTGTATTATATTAGTCACAACACCGGCACGTCACATTGGCTCGATCCGCGTCTATCGAAATTTCAAAAGAAATCATTAGAAGACTGCGGCGACGATGAGCTGCCCTACGGTTGGGAGAAAATCGAAGATTCTCTATATGGTACCTATTACATAGATCACGTTAATCGGCGCACACAGTATGAAAATCCAGTTTTGGAAGCTAAACGACGCGCAGCGGAACAAAGACAAAAACAACAACAGCAGCCGCCGCCACCTGCACACAGTAGTACACAAAATACACAAGGTGTCGGCTATATACCACAACAACAACCACCGCCACCACCACCTACTAATCAACAATCACAACAACAGCAACAACAACGCCCGCAAACACCGTCTACACAAATGACAACTAATTTGGTGAATGGCGCTGGCATTGGTGGCAATGTAATTGGCGCTGATGATGACGCTCGTGTTACTCCAGCGCTTGGCAACAACATGATTGATATATCGCAGCGTGGTATGCAACCACCGCCAACAAGCTCGGCTATGCAGGCGGCACCAACAGCGCTGCTGGCATACAAATTCACGCGAAATCCCGGCGAAATGCAGGGCGAGCGCATCACTGCGTCGTTGGTGAAGTCGGCACGCGGCCTGGGCATCACCATTGTGGGTGGCGATGATGGCGCGGAAGAGTTTTTGCAAATCAAGTCGATTGTGCCGCACGGTCCAGCGTGGTTGGATGGTCAACTGCAGACCGGCGATGTGTTAGTGTATGTGAACGATACCTGTGTGCTCGGGTTTACGCATCACGAGATGGTGAGTGGTTTTATTTTTGTTAGTTTATGTTATTTATTATTAGAAAAACTTAAAATTTTAATTGTTAATTTTTTTTTAATATAATTTAGTATTTAGTGTTTAAATTTTTTTTTTTATATTTTGTGCAGGTTAATATTTTTCAGTCGATTTTGCCAGGCGAAACCGTTACATTAGAGGTATGCCGTGGCTATTCTTTACCATTTGACCCCAATGATCCCAACACCGAGGTGGTCACCACCATAGCGGTGGATGGCGTTAGTGTTGCAGCGACAGACAAACAACGTCGTATGCTACTCGATCTGCATATGGATGGTAATTATAATTTTCTTGAAACTATTGGTGGCGATGGGGCCGGCACAAAATCTCACCCGCACAACCAAATGCGCAATCAACACTCACCAGTAACAGGCGGCCTAAATGACGGCTTCATTTTGATGAAAAAACCAGAGTTGCAAGTGCATACATTTACGATTGTCAAAGGTGCCATGGGTTTCGGTTTCACCATTGCCGACTCGGCCTATGGTCAAAAGGTGAAGAAGATACTCGACTACAATTGTTGTACGCAACTACAAGAGGGTGATGTACTATTAGAGATTAACGGTATTGATGTGCATCAACAGAGTCATCTTGAAGTAGTGCAGATATTGAAGGACTGTTCGAAAATCGAGCCGACACATATGAAAATCCAACGCGGTGGTCCAGCTTCGAATAGTGCCAATGCCTCACCATCAGGCGGCGCTTATAGTGCCACCATTTTGAGTAATCCACCGCCAACAAGCACTTCAAGCGGCAATAGCCTGGGTAATGTGGCGAAATTACGTAAGAACTTTACGTCCTCATTGTTTCGTAGCAAGACACCGACTGCCGATCTATACAGCACACAACAAAAGGAGATTCTGCCAATACGCCCAAAAACACCGCTGGTCGATACGCGTCGTACACGCGCACAAACGCCTAATGATGAGCTACAGCATAGTGTCGATGTTAACGATGGCAACGTTGATGGCAGGTTGTCGGCCAGTAAGAGCCAGTTGTTGGATGCTGCCACGCATAAATCCACAAATAGTCTACAGGAAATTGAGGCAATTAGTCAAGATATACCATTCTTGGATCCATATCCGAAACTGGTGACCAGTTTGAGTGAGCGTTTGGCTGGTGCAACATTGCTAAGCGAAAATGCTGGCAATAGTGGCGCCAATGGTGGCAATGTCGATAATATGGGTGGCCTTAATATTGGCACTGGCTACCACCACGTCACTAGTCTGTCGATGCCTTCAAGTGTTGCTGATCCAATGCGTTATGATCATCAAGAGTACGTTTCAGCCGGCATGCGTACAGGTGGTGGCAATAACATTTATGGCATGACTCCGCTGGCCAACAGCATGAACAATTTCTATGCGCCACAACAATTGCCCACACCGCCACATCTTAGCATTTCTGCCAGCAGTTATTCACCATCGTCGTCGCACGGTTTGACAACAACAGCCGCTACGCATCACAATATCTTGCATCATCATCCACTGCAATTGCCGCCACCACCACCGGCGCCGCATATGCATGCGCATCAACACGGCTCCCAGTACTCACCGGCATCTTTGCACGCGACTACGCCGTTACAAGCGGCACACATACAAAATGAGCGCATGCAAAAACGTGTCAATGAGCTGTTGAGTGACCGTCGTCGTGTGGGCTTCTCGACGCTTGATATGCCACAGCCACAGAAACTCTCACCAGCGCCTTACGTTAATCAGCAATTGTTGCACCAGCAGCAACCTTCACAACATTCACCGGCTGTTAGTAGCGTATCGCAACCGCCAACGTTGTCTTGGTTAGGTGCTAGCAACTACACCAATACAATGCAGTCATCACCCAGCGGTAACTTACCATTTCTACAACGCAATGGCGGTGCAATTGATGCGTTCGATGAACTGACGACGGAACAGTATGAGTTGAGTGAAGTCACTTTGGAACGTCAGGCGCTTGGCTTTGGATTTCGCATTGTGGGCGGCACGGAGGAGGGTTCACAAGTGACCGTGGGTCACATTGTTCCCGGCGGTGCTGCGGATAATGACCAACGCATTAACACAGGTGACGAGATACTCAGCATAGACGGTATCAATGTGGTGAGTTTAAATGATGAACGTGCCAATTATTGTAGACAACTCTTAGTTTCATATTTATCTTTTCTCCGAAGGTCAATTCGTCGCACCACAAAGTTGTTTCACTAATGGGTGAGGCGGCATTGCGAGGACAAGTGACTATGATATTACGTCGTCGCTTGCGGTTAACACATCAACCACATTTGTTGCAGCCACAACAGCAGCAATTACCCTTGCCACCACCGCCGCCATTAAACGTGCCCATGCGCAATACATATCGATACCCATATGATGTTATAGTTAGTCGACACGAGTCCGAAGGCTTCGGTTTTGTAATCATATCTTCGTCAAATCAATTCTACGGCTCTACTATTGGTAAATATGGCAAAAATATTCAGCTGCTCAAATGCTTATGAAATGTTTTTAATGCTGTTTTGTGTGTTTTTGCAGGCAAATTGATACCAGGCAGTCCGGCCGATCGTTGTGGTGAGCTGAAAGTAGGTGATCGTATTATCGCTGTAAATCGCATAGATATTTCCGGTATGTCACATGGTGATGTTGTCAACCTCATAAAAGAATCGGGTCTTCATGTGCGTTTAACAATCGGTTGTCCAAAAGATGCCTTGACAACACCGACGACTACATTGGGCACACAAAATTCAGCATTACTCGTCAACTCCGCACAAGTGTCGCCTGGTCAACTATCACAAAATCAATTAATATATACACCGTTGACAACGCAACAGCAACATAAACCACAGATATCGCCAAATTTATTATCGAACAATCAAAATGGTGGCAACTACTTTATGGAACATCCCCGAACAAGCGCGGCAACAACAATTTACGTACAACAACCGCATACGCAATCGCCATTGCTGCAACAGCAACAGCAACAACAGCAATTGCCACCACAATTATGACTTTGAGACTTGCGCATAAGACTCTACAAAAGTTTCCTTTAGCACAACAACGTTGTATATACAAATATTTTATAGGCGAATAATACATTTTACATTTCTTTATATTGGAATTTTTTAAAAATAGCCTAGTTCGTATATTAATGTTTATATAGTTATTTGTACGATATATATAATAATTGCACCTATTAATACATACCTACATGCATACTTTTTCTATACATTTGTATTTATATATTATTATTTAATATTAAAATTAGAAGTATATTTGTAAAGATATTTACACACTAACCCGTATTGAATCCCAAAGACTGAATTTAGCCCCGTGCGCTCTTAAAATGCGTCAAAAGCCACAAAAAATTTAGAAATCAATATCTACCAGTTAAGCATTTGATATTAGACATTTACAAAATTGTTACAATTTTTAAATTTACAAAAAAATATATATTAATATATATATACATATGTAGAATTTGCGCAGAAAATTTGCATTTATTTACTCTAATGCATAAGCATTTTACACATAAGAAATACATTATTATATATACCAGTCTATTACATATGTACATATGTATATATGCATCTAGAAATAAATTTTTTAAGAAATATTCACATACATATCTACTGCAAATATTAAATATAAATTTAAGCAATAATTTTGTAGAGACTGATTTAAAATAGTTTGAAATGAATCTATGCACCTTTACTTGTGTCTTGCTACTATTTGAATCAGTCGTAACAAAATTACATTTTGCTTATGTCATTTACAAACAAATAATTATACAGCCTGCGCTAGCCTTAAGTAACCAGTGTCACCTTATATTTACTTAAGTTAATCGGAATGCTATTAAATGTTAACATTTTATTATTTTGTGTTGAATAAATTTTTGCGGTATATACGAATGAGTGTTATTCTATCGAAAAAATAACAATAGTTTCATGATTTGAATCATCTTTATACCCTGAACAGGCTATGGCACTATGTTTGTAGCTCTATAAATATTTATATAAATCGATCGGCATGACGAGCTCAGACGATTTGGCCATGCCCATCTGTCTGTCCCCCTAGTCTGTCTTGTATAAACGCGAAAACGTCCCTCAATTTTTGAGATATCGACACTTCTCCAAGAAGCTGCCTTGTTGTTGTTGTAGCGGCAGAATTTTGTCGAGTTGACAGTCCTTGGCCGAAAAAATCCGGGTCCATTCCGATTACGTAGACCCGACTGTTATGGAAACACAGAATTCTTTGTCGGAACTGTCGCTAATGGACCAGTATAGCACATAGCTTTCATAAAAACTGAAAGATCAAAATTAACTTTTACGGCTACCGCCGACTTAACAGTTCTTATACAAAGAAATGACTAATGGAAACTAAACTTTTAGTCAAATAGACTGGATATATTGAACGTTTCTCTTATAATCCTTAAAATTTCAAAAAATGTTCAAAAAAATTTGTATTAAAATCATTAATACCAAGTTTGTATGTATGTTTACATTTTAATTGAGATAAAACATAGTTTTGCGAATACAAAATGGAAATTAAATATACATATGTATGTCAGTATTAAAGCTACAAAATTTTACTATTATATTGGTTTAATTTTGAAGTGCAGTCCAATGAGTGAGAACACCAAACACTTTAAATCCTGCACTAAGTAGTAGAAACAACGGAGACCCTCGGGATCTTTTGACCGATTCACATCGACTAAAGACCCTGTTTTCGATGTTGTAAAAGAGATATGTTCATCGCCTATGACAATTTCCAGCTCCTAAAAGTAGCAACATTATTATATATGTATATATATAACTTGATATTTGTCCAACCTGTCTCCCCACGCGATCCGGTGGTGGCCAGGGTGAATCGTCTTCAGCCATAATTTCTGAATCCAAAATGATTCTCTTTAGCTCTTCCATCACCGATTGATGAACGAACGCTTCCTTACGGATCATTGTGTCGTTTTTGTAATTAGAGTTGTTGGCGTAGCGCAGTTTACCATCTGGTCGAAATTCGAACTCCAGAAACTCATGACCAAACTTGCCTTTATGTCCAACATAGTAACGTAAATAGAAGTCCTCCGTAGTCATAATACCTATTAATAACAAATGTTTAATACAAATTTTTAATTATTCTTCACTCTTTCGTTTGCTAACCTATTTTTCCGGGTTTACAGCCGTGACAAACGTCAAATTATGCGTCAAACTTTCTCCAGCTTCAATTTTGAGCTGCCATCTGTACAAGTTTTCACATGATTGAAGTTTCACGTGATGTTGAAGTAAAAGTTTTAAATTGTGTCAGAGAGTTAAATTTAATATAATCTGAAAGCAAATGGTTTGTTGTAATAACTATATGCTTTATTGCAGGAATGTTATTAGTTAAGTTTAATGTAAAATATGCTCAAATCAAACAAAACAATAAAAGTTTCTATTACATCTACATTTTTCCATTTCTTAGATGGCAACATCTATTTATTAAATTTTCGCGTTGCCAACAACAATGCAAAAATGCGAATGATAGCTCAAAATAAAACGTACAATTCACTATTTTGGGGATTTATTGAACATGTGCGTAGAAACTGTATATTTATGTATATTATAATATAAAAATGGAATAAAATCAAAAGTTTATAACGCTGGTTAGTAATGGCGTTACGAATCATTTGCCGGAAAAAATAAAAATACCTATTAAAAACCATTGATGCCTGTAACCGCTGCAGTAGCCAGTTAACATATGTATGTAGATAATATACGTTCTCTGCAATAGCGCTTACCTATGGGGGCAACAACTATGTTGATAGCAGCGACATCGACAAAGTCATTCGCAACAAAGTAGATGAAACGGGACACAGCAGTGGCAGCGAAAAGTAAAAATGGAGAATCCAATCTACGTAGTTGTGAAAAAATAATGGATTCTCTTAATTAAACGCTTTAAAAGTTAAAAAGAGGAGCAATTAACGCAGCTTTAAGTTGTATTCCAAGCATGTAAGTTTAATAATTTGCTAATTGTAATGTGTAATTGTGTAATATACTTCTGTAAATGCTTTTTATTCATGCAAAAGGGGTGATGTACAATAAATTTTCAGATAGCTGAGGTAACAACAGTGAAACAGCTTATTTAATATACATATGTATGTTGTGGTATGTTTTATGTGAATAGCTAAAAAAATATTGCAATTTTATTCACATCAAATCGTTAAGCTAATGGAGTAGGATGTTGCAGTTGCAATAAGTTGTGCAAATTCAAAATGGTCGCACTGGAAACAGGAATAATTTTCGCGCCGAAAAGGTGTAAAGCAAGGATGACATGATGCGAGACTCTCTCATTTTCGCTGATTTTTCTGTTATTCTCTTTCCCTGATTATTAAAATCAGGGAATTTCGAACAGCTGATGTCAAAAAAGGCGGGATGCCAGAAATAAACCCGCTAAAAATAGCTAACAAAAGCAGTGCGAAAAGAACGACACAAATACTTTTGAATAACGTGCAACTAAATTTTATTTGTTAATTTAATTTAAAACTTTCATTATAAAACCATGATATTTTATTATGACTTGTATTGTTTCTTTGTTATAATTTTTTTTATTTATATGCTAATTTTTTATGTTATATGCATTTTTAAAAATTTTATAATATAAATACAAGTATATAGGGATGTATATGCGTTATATAGGCCTACTTGGGGACGGAGCACCTAAAAATAATATCGAAATGCAAAATACCCCCAAGTTTTTTTTATAATACCCAATCCATTTTCGTTCGACAGTGGCATGATTGGCAAATGTTATAAAAAATGTGGGTTTTGACAGCTCTCTCTCGATTCAAAGAGTCTCGCATCATTTCATCCTTGGTGTAAAGAGCATAATGACTAAACGTTTGTTTCGCTGACTACTCGCGATTATATCGGTCAAAGTAATTTTACAAAGTCCATTGGGGATGGTATGAAGACTGCAACTGCAATGTACACGGGAGTGAATGGGACTCAGTTGCAATTTCTAATGCTCAATAAGGTATTGTGCAGAATTTTACATATTTTCGAGCACGTGCCATGCTCTTTTAAAGGTATTTCGCAGTCTAACAGGAGAGACGATTATTTATCCTTGTGTATGTGTGAGATTGCAAAAACAGAACATTTTCCGTTGTGGTTTCATGTCGAGTGAAAGTGCATATAACAATGTGTTATTGAGTATGTGCTCCAATGAGCGGTCAAACATACATACAAATATGTACAAAAATTGTACTGTAGACGCAGGCTGGTTTGGCATCTTGATTTTTGTGCTCCAAAACTAGGAAACTCGGTCGCGCAACATTGTTGCTCAGTACCATCTATGTATGTATTGTTGGTCTGTAAAACCAAGTAATGGGGTGACTGCACAGCGAGTATAGCATGAAACTGGCTTATCTGTGTAACCGGAAATGGGAGCTAAAGCAAGAGCAAAAAAAAAAAGCACATAATGTTCCTGTATTTGTATTTTCGTAAATGCAATAAAACTGGTAGTCTCGGCTGCAGACTTGGTTGACATATCATTCGTTGTGCTTTGTAAAATCGATGACATTGAGTGCAACATTGTAGAGCACCAGCTGCTCACGAGTAGTATAGCCTGGTGTGGCATCAATTTTTGCGTTGTAGCCACGTTCATAACAAGAACAAAGTAACGCAGTCCTGGTACGAATTTTTTTCAGTAAATTTTGACTTTGTACAGATATTGTGTTGTGCCCTGCCTCAAAGGGCAATGAACGGTTGGCTTTCAAATAAGCCTGGGAACTATGAAATGTCGTATAATAAAGAAAAACTATTTCTAACTGTTATTCTGTGTATTCAAAACGTATAAGCATGTGAATTTTATCGCTGTTACTGTCGCGTTACTGCATCTTTAATTCCTGTTGAAACAGTAGTATAAGCGTAGTGTTGTGAGGTGTACAATATTGTGTACATACATAGGTATATTGCAGACACCCTAAGCCATCAGAAATTCTATGCACAAAGGCGACGGGCAGTCGGAATTTGGGACAGTAAATGTAAAGTTACTTTGTTGTGCACGAACAGTATAAGCGGTTTCTTGTAAGCTTGTGGAAAAATAATAAATAATTACTAATTTTAGTATATATTTGAATATATAGATATATTTGGGAATGAATGATTGCAAAGCAAATTCTTAAAATATTGAGCGAGTTGCAAACAAATAAGCAGTTAAATAGATTAAAATAAAACAAAACAAGTAATTTAAAAAAAAAGTGCGAAAAGTCTGATTAATACCAGCTCGCAATGGTTTTTTAATATTCTTTTTTTTTTACCCATTTTTTTTTAATAATGTTTCTAGTATACATACATACAAGTATGTTTGTAGGTATATTGTATAGTGTCCAAGTGCCTTAATTTTTGCTTATAGAGATAAAATATTAAGCAATTTTGCGGCGTAAATAGGGATTTCATTGGTATGGCGATAAAAATTTTGTTACGAAATGTTTTTTCTAATTATATTATAAACAGCGTTTAATAAGATTCATTGTATTATATAAACAAAACTTTAATTTATTTTTTTTTATCACTTCTTTTCAGGATCCTCAGGTTTCTAAAACTGGTTTTCAGAAGTTTTTCAATATCCTCATATACAAAATAACAAGCTTTTAGGGCAATTTTCAGTATTTGATTCAACGTTATTAGTGTAAAAGTACATCTGCAAAAAGAAATTGTGATTGAAAATTTCTTTATTTTTTAACTGAAACTTCAACTGTCCATTGTTAAAAAAAATATCATCGATAAAACCGCTGCTGTCGAATTGTTAAACAATTGTAGCCATATACCAGTGAACATAAAGGTAATACATTTATAGAATTAAAAAAAAAAATAAATTTGTAAGAAATTAAAAAATTCTTGAAAACTTTTAATAGTAATAGAATGTTTCTTAAAATATCAAATTAAATTTCTCAAAAATACTTTATTCGGTCTCTTTATATTTAGTTTTGCTGAAACGTTTGCGATATTTAGCAAAGAAAAATGGTTTACACGTAAATTTTTTTTATTACAATGCTATAAAAATCACCCAAAGGTCAAAGAGCGTCAAAACACGGCATATACCAAACCGCCCAAGTGTGGATACATTAAAAGACGGGTGTGGTGTTCATGAGGACAAATACATGCCGGTGTTAACATTTTTCTACATGCTCACTTACACTTTGCTGCTATATATACATGCAGTATATGCATACCAAAATTGAACATACAATACTTGTAATAACATTACAAATTACATAAATGCCAAAGCAAAAGCAAAACAACAAACCGCAATGTTAGTAAATTACAACCGAAGTCCAGTCTGCGATAGTACATAAATGACTACAAAGCTGCAAAACTAGCGAAGAACATAAGCAAATAAGATTTTTTTTGCATAGACTTTTGAGCAAGAAACAGCTGATCAGCATCTAGTAGTGTTATTGAAACAATAAAGAATAATAATAAACAACACCGGCGTTAAATACATGTAAAGCTGTTATATACCACAGTTTTTTTTTCGGCAAACTATAAGTATAAATCGAGCGGAGAACAAAAAGTCGAAGAAAAAAAAAAACAATAATGACAACATATGAGCGAACTGCATGTAACAATAATGGCAATAGTAACAATAGCGAAAAGTTGCGCAGTAATGGTACGAGCAGCAGCAGCAGCAGTACCAGCTCCTCCGCGAGAGTCGAAGCGTTAAGTAACAGCACGAACAGCAATAGTAGCAACAGAAATCTATTGCAATTCTTCGCCATAGTGTTTGTGTGTGTGGCATGTTACTGGAATAGTGCGCAATGTGAGTTGGTCTTCGACGATATTAGCGCTGTGCGCGATAATAAAGACCTACGCTCGTACACGCCGCTACGTAACATATTTCTCAACGATTTCTGGGGTACACCAATGCGCAAAGAGCAATCGCATAAATCATATCGACCGCTAACAGTGCTCACCTTTCGCTTCAACTATTGGTTGCACGAATTGCAACCATATGGCTATCACATAGTAAATATGTTCTTACACATTGTCGTGTGTCTGTTGTGGCGTCGTGTTTGCAGATTATTACTACTGCACTGCGCCGGCGCTGTGGGAGCGTCAACAACGGTGTTAATACAACGTTGTAATATGTTGCGTATAAACACTTGTAGCTTCTTGGCTGCACTCTTATTCGCTGTACATCCCATACACACAGAAGCCGTTACAGGTGTAGTCGGACGTGCCGAATTACTCTCGTCAATATTCTATTTGAGTGCATTTCTCGCATATGCCAGCGCTGTTAACGCGCCAACGACGGTGCAGCGTCGTCAACAGTCGTCACAGCAGCAACAGCAACAGCAACAGCAGTCGGTTAAGAAGCAACGCACACGCTGGTCGGTGTTATGTTGCACTTTTGGCGCTTGCTTATTAGCTTCGATGCTGTGTAAGGAGCAAGGCATCACTATAGCGGGTATTTGTGGCGCCTATGAATTGTTTGTGGTGCAGCAGTTGCGTCCACTTGAGCTGTGGCTGTGTGTGCAGCGTTTATTTGAGGATCGTACACGTATGTCGACACCGCAACATGTAGCCAAAAGTACGACAACTGCAGCAGTAGTCAGTGCATCGGCAACGGCCGGCGTGTACAATCGTGTTAGCGGCATATGGCATGGTACTTTGTTGCGTCGCTTGGGGTTTCTCGTCTGCATTACGTTTGCCTTGTTGGTTGGACGTGTGTACGTGATGGGTTCGCAATTGCCAGTCTTTACGCGTTTCGATAATCCCGCTTCGGCAGCAGCGACACCAACGCGGCAGCTCACTTTTAGCTACCTGATTTACTTGAACTTGTGGCTGATGCTGTTCCCTTGCAACCTGTGCTGCGATTGGACTATGGGTGAGTTGGAAAATATAGCTTTAAACTATAGCGACCACGACAGTTAATATGGAAAAAATATAGCGTATTTATTCTACCGTAAAATTAAAGAAAATATGTTAGAAAACTGTAAAATAATATTTTTTTACGCATTTTCGGAACTTTTTTTTATATCATAGCAAGTGGTTAAGCATCATTTTTGTTTATAAGTTTTGAAACATAAAAGTGCAGTATTTTTGGTGAACCCCTTTATTTAATTGTTTCACTAATATTTAAAATTGTTTGGTGCAATGCTCTCAAAGCAAACCAGCTTTGTTTCAAATTTGGAATTATTAATTAAAAACCAGCTCAATTCTAAATACTCACTCTAATATTAATCTTTAAATAAATGGTGCGGTTTTTTTGTAAGTGGCAACTCTATTAAAAATATGTAGTAAATATATATGGTAAATATATTAATTTGGAAACCATATTCTAAATATTTACTCCGATATTTTTTACGAAATAAATATGAAAGTATTTTTTGATAAGTGGCAAGTTTATTTAAAAAATAGAAATGTTCAGTTGAAAACATGGTCTGTTTCAAAATTATAACTGTTAAATTGACAACAAGCTCTATTATAAATATTCACTCTGGTATTTTTCTTTAAGTAAATATAACTGTTTTTTATAGGTAGCAACTCTATTTCTAAAAATTCACTCTAATATTTTTCTCTAAATAAATATATTATAGTATTTTTTCCCTACAAAAAGAATTATAGTTCTTAGAATAAAGTTTAGACCAATCACCTGTGCTGAGGGAGAGGGTTATAGCGTAAATATAGTTTATGACATTATTTTAAATAAATAAACGTCCAAATAGTTTGTGAGTGTATAGAATATATATAGTCATAAATTCACACATTATCTGACTTCGAAAGAAACTCGAAAAGTGGCAAATCGAACAAACAACTGGTATAAAAATAATTTCCGCTTCTAACAACTGGTATAAATGTTTCAATACGATTTACATATGCGGTTTTTGACAAGAGAAAAAAGCGTAAACAAAGCGAATATATAATTTCCGACTCGGAAGACGGCTTAAATTCACATACTCATATGTTATACATATATACAATATTAGGTATATTTTGTTGAAATTAACGTTGAGGATGTAGATGTGATATGGACATTGTATAAGCTTTATGCCTGAGAATATTTAATTCGCCTAACATTTGTATTTATATTCTGTTCGCTTCAGGTACCATACCACTAATCGAAGGCTTTAGCGATGTACGCAATTTAGCCACCGTAGCAACATTCGCCTCCCTAGCCGCAGTGACGTGGCACGCTTGTACAACTCGAAATTTAATGCACTCCCGTGTGCTGCTGATGGGATTGGCCTGGCTGGCGTTACCCTTCCTACCCGCTTCGAATCTATTCTTTCACGTTGGCTTCGTGATTGCTGAGCGTATACTGTACATGCCCTCCATGGGTTATTGTCTTCTCATAGCCTATAGTTATATGCATTTGGAGGATTATTTGCGCGTTAAAGGCACAGTTACACGTCGTTTCCTGCAATTAGCACTCGGTTTGTTCTTGCTTACGCATGCGTTGAAGACATTTGAACGTAATAAAGACTGGCGTACGGAGTATACGCTATTTATGTCGGGCGTACATGTGAATGGACGCAATGCGAAACTATTCAATAATGTTGGCCACGCGCTTGAAAATGAGCAACGCTACGCTGAGGCGCTACTGTACTTCCAACAAGCGGTACGCATACAACCCGACGATATTGGCGCGCACATCAATGTCGGACGCACTTATAATAATATGCAGCAATACGAGCAAGCCGAAATGGCGTATCGCCAAGCCAAAGCGTTATTTCCGCAAGTCAAACCAGGTGAGAGTTATCAGGCGCGCGTAGCGCCGAATCATTTGAATGTCTTCATAAACTTAGCACAATTGATTGCGCGCAATCGTACGCGTTTGGAAGAAGCCGATTTGTTGTATCGGCAGGCGATAAGTATGCGCGCGGACTATGTACAGGCGTACATCAATCGTGGTGATATATTGATGAAACTGAATCGCACCGCGCAAGCGCAAGAAGTTTACGAAAAGGCGCTGTTGTATGATAGTGAGAATGCTGATATTTATTATAATTTGGGTGTGGTATTTTTGGAGCAGGGTAAAAGTGCGCAGGCGCACGTCTACTTTAACAAAGCAATCGAATTATATCCCGAACACGAACAAGCATTACTCAATTCCGCCATACTATTGCAAGAGCATGGCGGTGCTGAAGCGCGTGAATTGTCGCGCATGCGCCTCTTCAAAGTGCTGGATAAGGATGCGAACAATGAGAAGGTCTATTTCAATTTGGGCATGCTGGCCATGGACGAATCGAATTTCGACGAAGCCGAACAATTTTTTAAACGCGCTATACATCTGCGTGCCGACTTTCGTAGTGCGCTCTTCAATTTAGCATTACTATTGGCCGATGCGAATCGACCGTTGGACGCAGTACCGTACCTGAATCAGCTAATACGTCATCATCCCGCACATATAAAAGGTTTAATATTACTCGGTGATATTTATATAAATCACATGAAGGATCTCGATGCAGCCGAGCAATGTTATCGCAGTATACTACGTTATGAACCGCACAACATACAGGGTTTACACAATTTATGTGTTGTATTTGTGGAGCGTAAGCGTTTGGCACGCGCCGCCGCCTGTCTACGCTATGCGCATCATTTAGCGCCACATGAGGATTATATTCAACGCCATTGGCAAATTGTACAGCAACGCTTACAGAAGATAACTAAGTTACCTGAAACATCGCCGGAACGGCAAATTGCCTATGCTGAGTATGAGCCTGATGAGTTTAGGGTGTTGTCAACCAAAGTGGATAGAAAGAGTCACACTACTATGCACGAAGACAACAAACAGCAACAACAACAACATCGTCGGTAGGAACGACCACTAAATAGTAGCAGTTAAGAGAGACTTATAATGCTGAGTAAGTTGGAACGATATTCATTCAAAATGAGAAAAACAAAAAGATTTTAGCATTTAAGTGAGGGCTTTTATATATATACAAAGATGTATGAACATATGAATATTTATTGAAGGCAACTAAGTACGTACTTAAATTGAAATGTGCGGCTTTTGAATTGTGTATGCGCTGTATATGACTTGTTAACCAATCAAAATGTTAATGGCGAATACAGCATATAATTTTATTTTATATTGGCTGAAAAATTATATAATTGATCAAAAAGTAGGAAGTGGTCTTGTACCAGAGTTAATTCTTATATCGTATATTATGATCAATGGTGTCGATCGAACAGTCGGTTCTGTGTAAACGCAACCAAACCAAATTTTAGTTCGGCGAAGAAGAACGTATCAACTCGGTAGATATCCGTTGAGGTTTTTTAAGAATGTTATCTTTCGTTAGAAAAACAATAACTGATATTAAAATATATATAATTAAAATAATTCCAACAATTACCAGAAAAATTCCAATTCGCCACTAATGCATTTAAAGTTTTTCACGAATATACAATAGTAACGAATAATTATTCTTTTTTGCATACAAAAACAAAAAAGAAAAAAAAAAGGGTTCAAATTATATATAACCAGGGTTGCAAATAATGCATTAAAAAAATAATTGTATTAACATTTGAATTATTATTTTTTTTTATATATATTTTTTAAATTTTATTTTGGTTTTGTAATCCTAAATACGGAGCTTATACGGGATTAAAAAAATTTAATCCCACATATGGCATAAAAAAATTTTAAATCCCACAATCCGGATTAAAACAAAAAATTTAATCGCACATACTGGATTGAGAAAGACAAATTTTAATCCCAAGCATATAATTAGGAATTATAAAAAGAAATTGTTATAAAATTAACATTTTTTCGCGTTTGTGTACTTTATTAAAATTAAAAAATATACTTTTCAATTTTTAATCCATGCATCAGGACAAATAATAAACGGGAACAAATAATAAAAATTGATTTTTCAATTCTAAATTTTTGAATTAAGGGTATGCAGCCGTGTTAATAGCTTCTGCCCAGAAGCCCTCATCCAGACTAGCATGTAGAATCACATTTTGCGCCATCTCAACCAATGTTCTGTTCGCGCGCTCAGCTACACCATTTTGTTGGGGTGTGTGTGGTACAGTATACTGCCTTTTGATACCGTTGGTTGCCAAAAGTTGTTCCAACGGGCCACTCAAATACTTACGTCCATTATCGCATCTCAGACATTTTATTTTTCGTCCAGTCTGTTTTTCAGCGAATGCCTTGAACACTTTAAATTTTTCGAGTATTTCATCGCGAGTTTTCGGGAAACTTACATACGTGTAACGCGATTTATCGTCAATAAATGTTACAAAATACCGCGCTCCTTCTTGTGAGGTTTTATTCATCGGTCCACATATGTCTGTATCCACCAGACTCAACACGCCGTTCGAACGATTTTCAGTTTTCTTTGGAAATGGCTTTACACATATCTTACATTTTGCACATACTTCACATACATGATCTTTCAAATTACTGTAAACTTTTCTTTAAACCATGCACCAGATTTTTACTAATCATTTTGTTCAGACTACCAAAGTTTAAATGTTATCTCAGCCACATTAGACTGTGCGCCAAAACACTTCTTATCGTTTGTCTCGAACAAAGACAAATCTTGCGCCGCTTTTGGCAACTAAGGTCACTTCACCGTCATGGTTTTGAATGCACGCACCTTCTTGTTTAAACTTGACATTGAATCCTTTATTCTCCTTGTTTTTCACTTTGTTCATTACGCCTTTCGCTCTCTTCGAGCAACTTAATTTTCAACGCACTTAATTCCGGCAAATAGTCACGTGATTGCATTGCTACCACGAAACTGTCAAAAACGTCGGTCAAGCTTGACAACAACAATATGCACAAACACTCTTCGGGCAGTGTAAAACCAATTAGGTCTGTGAGCTTTTCCAAATGCTTAGCCATACTTGCCGATTCTGACGATTTGATACGCAATAACTGTTTTAACAATGTAACGCGACGTGCAGGTCCCTTAGGCATATGAATTGCTTTTAGTCTTTCCCACGCACTAGCTGACGTTTGGCAATTTTTCACATTATTTATCTGTGAAGACTTAATGCTGGCTAATGCTTTTTCGTCTTTTGCATCAAACGCAGCTTTTATCTCTGCAGTGTCTTCTTCGTTCTTTACGACATGACCACAAACCACACCCCATAACTCTGCATGTATGAGTACGCTTTTCATCTGAACGATCCACGCGCTGTAATTGTGGTCATCCAGCTTTTCAATAGAATGCATAACGAAATGTATTTTACTTAAAAAAAATTAATACAAATTACTTGTCCAAGAAAGTCCAGAACGATCACATTCACCTTCTACAAGAAATTTCACTTTGAGTCAATTCGACTTATTATTTTATTTATTTCACTTGTCTCGTCGCCTAGGCCCATAACCTATTAGATGCACAGTTTATTTGATACTGACTTAAAAGTACAATATACGCATATATACTTGTATATGTATGTAAGAGAGAACCTCGTTGCTCGCAGACAACCGAATTTACAGTTAACATAATGCGTTGTTTGTATAATATGTTCCGGACACTAATGTGATGGTATCTGCTTCATCAAAATCGCATCAGCCAACTTCCTAATAGCATCCTGGTGCTGGCGTTTTAAAAGTTTAAAGCCTAAGAGATTCTCATTTAATCCCACATATGGCATAAAAAAATTTTAAATCCCACAATCCGGATTAAAACAAAAAATTTAATCGCACATACTGGATTGAGAAAGACAAATTTTAATCCCAAGCATATAATTAGGAATTATAAAAAGAAATTGTTATAAAATTAACATTTTTTCGCGTTTGTGTACTTTATTAAAATTAAAAAATATACTTTTCAATTTTTAATCCATGCATCAGGACAAATAATAAACGGGAACAAATAATAAAAATTGATTTTTCAATTCTAAATTTTTGAATTAAGGGTATGCAGCCGTGTTAATAGCTTCTGCCCAGAAGCCCTCATCCAGACTAGCATGTAGAATCACATTTTGCGCCATCTCAACCAATGTTCTGTTCGCGCGCTCAGCTACACCATTTTGTTGGGGTGTGTGTGGTACAGTATACTGCCTTTTGATACCGTTGGTTGCCAAAAGTTGTTCCAACGGGCCACTCAAATACTTACGTCCATTATCGCATCTCAGACATTTTATTTTTCGTCCAGTCTGTTTTTCAGCGAATGCCTTGAACACTTTAAATTTTTCGAGTATTTCATCGCGAGTTTTCGGGAAACTTACATACGTGTAACGCGATTTATCGTCAATAAATGTTACAAAATACCGCGCTCCTTCTTGTGAGGTTTTATTCATCGGTCCACATATGTCTGTATCCACCAGACTCAACACGCCGTTCGAACGATTTTCAGTTTTCTTTGGAAATGGCTTTACACATATCTTACATTTTGCACATACTTCACATACATGATCTTTCAAATTACTGTAAACTTTTCTTTAAACCATGCACCAGATTTTTACTAATCATTTTGTTCAGACTACCAAAGTTTAAATGTTATCTCAGCCACATTAGACTGTGCGCCAAAACACTTCTTATCGTTTGTCTCGAACAAAGACAAATCTTGCGCCGCTTTTGGCAACTAAGGTCACTTCACCGTCATGGTTTTGAATGCACGCACCTTCTTGTTTAAACTTGACATTGAATCCTTTATTCTCCTTGTTTTTCACTTTGTTCATTACGCCTTTCGCTCTCTTCGAGCAACTTAATTTTCAACGCACTTAATTCCGGCAAATAGTCACGTGATTGCATTGCTACCACGAAACTGTCAAAAACGTCGGTCAAGCTTGACAACAACAATATGCACAAACACTCTTCGGGCAGTGTAAAACCAATTAGGTCTGTGAGCTTTTCCAAATGCTTAGCCATACTTGCCGATTCTGACGATTTGATACGCAATAACTGTTTTAACAATGTAACGCGACGTGCAGGTCCCTTAGGCATATGAATTGCTTTTAGTCTTTCCCACGCACTAGCTGACGTTTGGCAATTTTTCACATTATTTATCTGTGAAGACTTAATGCTGGCTAATGCTTTTTCGTCTTTTGCATCAAACGCAGCTTTTATCTCTGCAGTGTCTTCTTCGTTCTTTACGACATGACCACAAACCACACCCCATAACTCTGCATGTATGAGTACGCTTTTCATCTGAACGATCCACGCGCTGTAATTGTGGTCATCCAGCTTTTCAATAGAATGCATAACGAAATGTATTTTACTTAAAAAAAATTAATACAAATTACTTGTCCAAGAAAGTCCAGAACGATCACATTCACCTTCTACAAGAAATTTCACTTTGAGTCAATTCGACTTATTATTTTATTTATTTCACTTGTCTCGTCGCCTAGGCCCATAACCTATTAGATGCACAGTTTATTTGATACTGACTTAAAAGTACAATATACGCATATATACTTGTATATGTATGTAAGAGAGAACCTCGTTGCTCGCAGACAACCGAATTTACAGTTAACATAATGCGTTGTTTGTATAATATGTTCCGGACACTAATGTGATGGTATCTGCTTCATCAAAATCGCATCAGCCAACTTCCTAATAGCATCCTGGTGCTGGCGTTTTAAAAGTTTAAAGCCTAAGAGATTCTCATTTGGTGCACAGTTAGCGGGGTACCACCCTCTATCTCTTAACGCTTTAATGTACTGTGATGTTACGTAAGGACTAATGTAACACTCATAGACATTGTGTGTTTCAGCGTTTGCTGGTCCAAAGCTAAGTGACAATTGACGGCAGGTTCCAAAATACCTTGTCGCCTGTAGGGGTTATTGTTGAGCCAAAATCACAGATATATTCATAAATTGGCTGTGGTATGTTATAATCCTCGGCGCTAATAGCTGTGAGTGGGTCCATCAGTGATAGTAAAACTGAGTTCTTCAGCAAAAATTTCGCTTGATGTAATTGATATGCAACGAGAAATTCTACCATTGCGTGCTGGAATATTGCGTACGGCATGCTCCGTGGTAAGCGCTGATCCTCAATGCAGAGACGGTTATATGTTTGTCTGACCAAAAGGATATATCCGGCGCAGTCAAAGCTCTGGCCTAATGTTTTCTTCACGGGCTTACTTCCTCTTCCGTTGCCAGTGTATAATTGTTCATATTTTGGAGCGGTTTCTTTCGTGATTACTGGGGCAGCGGCTGGTCCACGTCTTTGTGGCCTCCGGTTACCAGAGGTGCGTTTCTGTTGTAGCGGTCGGGCCTCTCGCCTCTTCTTCATTTTCGGCCATATCAACTTGATTCGACCAATTGGATTGGCCAAACTGTCGCTCATGTTGTCTTTCATTAAATTGCGACATTCTATCGACGTCGCGTGGCCTCATCCTTTTCGGTTGTTGTTTTCTTGGGGGGTCTTCCCTGCCCTGTTGTTGCTTAAAGCTGAATTTTTAAATTCAAAAATTTTATCTAAAAACGATTATTTTATTAATAATGACAATTTATTATATGGTTTGGCAATTTTATTTATTTTTACTTGCTTTGCTGGCAAAATTTGAGCATTTTTCTTATTATTTTTATCAAAATTTGAACATTATTTATTCATTTAAACATTTATTTGTTCTTATTAATATAGCACGTTTGCGATTTATTTTTTTGGTTTGGCAAAGATTTACGAAAATGTTGTTTCGCTTGTTAAACAGCAGTTTTTTTAGTGACTACAAAATTGTCTCCTCTCGGGTTTTATGTAACGAAACTGTTTTTCGCGTTTGAATAGAGAAAAGAGAACTTAAATAATTAATAATTACCAGTCCTAAGTGGTAACACAAACATCTACCCAAAAGTTAGTGCGGAAAAGTGAAAAAAAAATAAAAATAAAAAAAAAATTGCAATAGCAACTGCGGCGCTATATCTTGTAACGATCAAAAGTTCCATGCTTTTACTTACTTACAAGAAAAATACTCAAATACAACTGCAACTTTGAGCCTGATCGTTTTGAAGAATCCGACCCGCTCGAAGTTTTATTGGTCTGCCATATCTAACTATGAGTTAAATCACTAAAAATTGTATTAAATCAGTAAAAAAAATCAATTAAACTTGAAGAATTTTTTAAAATAAAAACACAAAAGTTCACAGCCAAAAAATTACAGCTTTAGAGCTTGAAGTGTTGCCACCTATAATGTGTGGGTCTCTAGCGCACGTTTAACCACTTCAATGTATCCATCATCGTCTTTGTGAACGCGATGTCTGTCTAAATTGGGTCGTGATGTGGATGGCGTTGACAGGGTCCGCCAACGGATTAGTATTGATTTCAAAAAAACATAACTCGATCATTTTTGCAGATATATTTTTATTTCTGGTCTTAAAATGTTCCCAAGAAGGGGGATTTTTATGATAAAGTTCATGTCGAGCATATGGCGGCCATCAGCAGTAATGCATGAATCGAGTCTCGAGATGAAGCTCGTAGCCACACTGCCCAACATGGCCCGAGGGATTCGTCGGATTTCTTCACTGATGGCCTCCTTCAACTCGTGCAGGGTCCTCGGCTTTTCTCTGTAGACTCTCTCTTTTAGGTATCCCCACAAAAAAAAGTCGCAAGGGGACAGATCTGGGGACCGGGGGGGGCCAGGAGACATCACCGCGTCGAGAGATGAGGCGACCAGGAAATTTTTGGCGGAGGAAGGTCATTGTGGCATTTGACGTATGGCAAGTCGCTCCATCCTGCTGAAACCAAACATTTCTCAATGGGATACGTTTTCGTCGGAGTTGAGGGATAAAAAACTCATTCAACATGGTGAGATAACGATCGGAGTTCACTGTGACTGTCACACCGTTTTCTTCAAAGAAATAAGGTAAAATGACTGTATTCTTCCCGACGGCACACCACACTGTAACACGAGGGCTGTGCAGAGGCTTTTCATGAAGTTCTCTTGGATTTTCTGCCCCCCAGTATCTGAAATTTTGTCTGTTGACGAATCCATTCAGGTGGAAATGCGCTTCATCACTCGTGAAAAGAGTGATGTTGTCGTTGTCGTTGAACACCGATTGCATTTGCTCACAAAACAACTTACGCTGGTCGTAATCCCCTTCTAACAATTGCTGGGTTATCACCAACTTGTATGGATGGAATTTGAGGTCCTCCTTCAAAATTCGACGCACAGTTGTCTGAAAAAAACTCCCCTTCGTTGTGAACACAATGAGACCAACCCCACCACTCTGAGGGGCCCAGACACCGAGTACTACCCATTTGAAAAACATACTAATCCGTTGGCGGACCCTGTATGTAACTCTCACCATTGATACTCTTCTTCATGAGAGTCACGTAGACAGACGTGGATAACGTCTTCTTCAGTTATGTGG